AAGAATGACATGCATGTGTTGGAAATCGCTATCATATGTATGACTTTCTTCGAGAGAGTCAATGAGAAACCATCTTACGGTTGATTATACTCCCTCTGTCCTTGAATAATTGGATTCTTAGAGTTGTCTTGAGTTAAACTTTTTAAAATTTGACCGAATTTCTAGAAAAAACCATCAATATTTATGACATCAAATTAATATCATTAGATATATCAAAGAATATATTTTCATAATGTGTTTATTCTATGTCATAAATGTTGTTACCACGCTCGCAGGAATCCAAGAAAAAGCGGGAGAGAGAAGACTTTTGGAAAGCAGGATTTTGGTTAGATGACTTTTGGAACACTCGACAGCCTACACGACGAGACACGTCGAAATAGTGCGAGCTACAACCCTTAGGAGACTATTTTTGCATCAGGTCCAATGGCGAAGCAGCCGATGTACGACCCATTCTACACCTCCAATCCCATTGCCGTAGTCCGCAACCAAAGGAGGAGATAGTTTTGAAATTCGATTCTTTTGAATTTTGCAAACGACATCGGAATAAAGCCTAAACCAAAGTTGTAGTGCCTCGACAATATATAAAACTTTTCAGTTTAAACTTTTTTTTATTTAAAACTGTTTAGGTTCTCAAATATTCATTACAAGTTTTGGTAAAGTGAATAGAAAAGAAAAAAACATTTACTTACTAACGAAAGACTTTGTGGTGCAGTGGTTAGGTCATGAATTTGATTCGTGGGTGCTGCAAGCATGTGACTATTTCTTTTTTATCGCTATACATATCCTTGGGGAGCATAAGCATGTATCCTTGGGGTTATTGGCCCTCAATATCCATAGGATGGATCATCAGCATATATCTATAGGGTTGGCCCAGCTTGCTCGGCTGGTACGTTGAACAGTGGATTTCGGATGATTCAATAGTGTTTTATGAGAGAGAATAAGCTGAAACAAGCTGAAAGTAGTACAGCCGAACACACTGAATATATATACATAATATATATCCATGTTGGTGTTGCATTTCTTGACGTTGTTAAAAAAAACTGACCCTGTATTTGTTTCTTTGGCCGCCAAATCTATAAAAAAAAAGTCATTTGTAACGGCTAGCCTTCAAAAGATATTTTGAATTTTCCTTTATTTACTTGATTGACGGTTTTTATGGTTTCCTTCGGGATTTATGTCTTCAATAATATTTCATTTTGTGGCAGTGAATGAATTTGGAATGGAGAGGGACAGAGAAAGCCCAAGTTGTCCATCTCGTGAGTGCCTCCGGTTATCAATCTCGTAAGTGCCTCCGGTAGCAGCCGCCGTCGCTGCCGGTGACCTGGCAGTACGTACCATATGATGGGCATTGTACGATGCCAGAGCTTGATAATGCATCCCAGATGAGCCGTGGGTCGTCGTCGCTGGCACGTCCCGCCTCCAATTTCCTTTTTCTTCACACGATTAGTAGCGGAGCTTGGCCATGAAAAGAGGAGGAAGGAGGCAATATGATATTTAGGTCCCTATACTTCCTTCGTTTTAAAAAACATCCACTGCTTCCTGGGGTGAAGCTGACAGCTAGGCCCGCACATGGAAACCCTCATCGTGCCATGCCGTAGAGAGCCAACAAGGCGAAGGCAAGGCATCTCAGCCCAACACACATATCAAGTTATAATAATGGGAATATCGTGTCACAACAAAAAGTTGTAGTGGGAATATGGTAACATAGACTGTTTATCAGCATGTTCGATTGGCTGGTTTATATCGTTGCTGGTTCGTGAAGAAGTACTGCTGGCTGGTTTATATGAGAGAAAAATATTATTCCAACTAAAAATTTATAATCGTTTACGATAAGCTACAGCCAAACGAACATGTTATATGAGAGGCTGACGGCGTATAATTTTGGAGACCAGGCTTCCTCTATAATAATCTATCATAAAGACCTTTAAACGTGGTGATGTCCGGTTCCTGTTCATCACCTTTCCCTCTCACAGATCCCTATTCATCCACAGTAACGGATCCCGTGAGCAGTACCGCCCGCCAGTCACAGTAACGGATCATGTGAACAATGCCAGCCATGTGAACAGTCACTTTAGGAACAGTATCCGCCCCCTGACCCATTACTTTGCTATACCACCGTTACGAAGAGTACACACCAGCTACCCGTTACTGCACCACTTACGAAGAGTACCAACCCTGTCCATACTGTTGACACCTCTTTTTTTTTAGGCCCTCCTCGACCAGAATTCTTCACGTCCGAACGGACGGGAGCAGTGCGCCGATGATATTTGCCGTGTAGATTAGCTGGACGCAGAGTCTGCTCAGGGCCGGCCCTGAGGGGTGGGGGGGCGCTCCAGGCCCCTAAAGCCAATGGGCCCCTCAAGTATGTACTGTTATATAGATAATTAGTAGCTGGCCCAAAAAATGAAACTACCGAAGACTAAATTAGGCCACACGTCCGCACAGAGACAGAATTCATGCAAATTAGAATCTGATCAGTTCACACAGAATTGATGACATGAGTAGCGACGCCGCTACAATTTTCTAAATTAATTTCTCAATACAAAATCCGTCTATCCATCATGTTACAGTATTATTATTAGTATCTGATTTGAAGACTGATCATGTAAATATCGAACTAGTAGCTACTAGTATTATTATTATTTAAGTTGGCTATAGCGTCGACTTAAAGAACCTTTTTAAAATTAAAATTGTTAAAAATCGTTGGAGATCTACAATATTTCTCTATTTTAAGAGAGGTTAAATAGTTTAGAGAAGGAATTTTTAGATGAGATCAATATTGATGTCATCATCAGCTACTTTACAACAAACGTTAGAAGGTAATTTTAATACCATTTAATGTGTACCGTTTTATGGTTTTAGTATTTTGATATCATAGGGCCCGAGTGTTTACTCTGGCTCACGAAATCCTCAGGACCGGCACTGAGGTCCTATTTAGTTTCCAAAAATTTTCACCCTAAAATGTCACATCGAATTTTGCGGCACATGCATAGAGTATTAAATGTAGACGAAAAAAAACTAATTGCACAGTTTGGTTGGAAATCGCGAGACGAATCTTTTAAGCCTAATTAGTCCATAAAAAGCCTTAAGTGCTACAGTGACCCACATGTGCTAATGACCGATTAATTAGTATCATTAGATTCGTCTCGCAGTTTCCCGATGAGTTCTGTAATTTGTTTTTTTATTAGTATAAAAAAAAACCCCTCTCGACATTCTTCCGACACATCAAATATAACACATAAATATTTTTCACCTCACCAACTAAACATCCCTGAATCTGCTGCAAAGAGGTAGGCAGGTACAGTACTTTTACGTCTTTCCTTCTCAAACACGGTACAGTACGTCTTTCTTTTCTTATTATATTCCTTTCTTTTTTTATTGTTTTCTTTTACGTCTTTCCTTCTCAAACACGGTACAGTACGTCTTTCTTTTCTTATTATATTCCTTTCTTTTTTTATTGTTTTCTTTTTCTGTGGCGGGGCGCCTGGGTAGGTAGGTACGGACGCACAGTAGTTTCTTTTTCTTTTTTTATTCTTCTCATTTGTTTTCTTTTTTTTTTCTTTTCTTTTCCTTTTCTTTTTATTTTCTTCTTTTTCTTTTCTTTTGTATTTCCTTTCTTCAATTAATTTTTTATTTCTGTTTTTTCATTTCATGTGATTTTTCATTTTTCTTTCCAACTTTTATATTTTTATTTATTTTCTTTTTCTTTTTTGTTCTTACTATAATTAATTATTTTGTTTGTCTTATTTTTATTTTATTTTATTTTTATTCTTTTTGTTTTTCTTTCTTTTTTCCTTTTCTCTTTGTCTTTATGTTTTTTATAGATTTTTTATTTTTATTTTCTATTTTACCTTATATCACATCTATCATATTTTTTGTGATGTTCATTTAGTATACATGTGATGTTCTATGATGTAATTAGTGATGTTTACGTAATATATATTTGATGTTCTATAATATATTTAGTGATGTTCTATGGTGTATTTAGTGATATTCACTTAGTACACATGTGATGTTTTATGATGTATTTAGTGATGTTCATGCAATATATATATGCAATATTCTATAATGTATTTAGTGATGTTTTATGTGGTATTTAATGATGTTTACTTAGTATACATATGATGTTCTATAGTAGTTTTTAGGATGTTTGAAAAGTATCCTGCGATGTTCTTTTATTTTTTTTCTATTACACATTTTTATTTTTTTTCTTCATACTTTGCTCTAGATTTTATTATTTTTTATTTTATGTTACATATTTATTTTTTTATGTATGTTACAATATCAATTTTATAAACTTAAAATTATAATATTGTTCTTCTAAACCGAGAATATTTTTCCTACGAAGACGAAACATTGTTCTCTGATTCTATAACATTGTCTCTGCTCAATAGACGAAAATATTCTATCTTCATAAGATAAATGTTCGTTAATAAAATTTTATCCAAATATATTCATGTGAGATCTTATTTGAAGGATTTATTGCAAGAAATCCGATAGTGTAATCGGATTTTAGTTTGGATGTTTGGTTTATGAGTTATGACTTTTTTTTAGTTTGTAAAAAGTGCATGCAAATACTAAGAGGGCAAGCATGAGCTGACACGAGCCGAGGTGGGGCCATGAGCGAGTGGACGGGTGGACAGGAGCACGCAGCTGGAGGCGGGAAAATGGGTGGGTGGGAAGGTGTCGGCGCTGGGTTACGGTTCGAGCGTCGGACCGTAACACCCCCCCTCCTCTACTCATGCTGGATATAGCGAATTGGTTTCTCCTCCCCTGCCCGCATGAAGCGCGGGGTCCCAATCTAGTTAGATTAGATTTGAATGGATAAACTTAGAGATTCGAGTGTGCACTTGCAACATTTACAAAGAATCGAGACAATGGGGACACAAGCTGGGAAACCAACTTTATACGGGCCGATGGACCCATAAATTTCGTGTAAATTAACATCCCTCTTTCCCTCTTCCCACAAAAAAAAGGTCCATCCCTGCTCCTGGCACAATTCATTCGGCCATATCATCAGCACCATCCGCTTCGCCAATCTCTGACACCGCAGCAGATCGCTTTCTCGGCTGCTGGGACCGGACAAATTCCTCGATTTGCAACTTGAGTTCCGTGTTTGGTATCAGCATGTCTTGAGTGTCGAAATGTCGACCGAGAATTCCCCGTCGAGGGTTACTGCCCCATCCCCGTTCCCGCAGGGGCAAATTCTCCCGTCCCTGTCCCCGTGAAGACTCATGGGGAGCACTTCTTCCCCATCCCCGTCCCTGCGTCAACACCATAGCACGCCATAGTTCCACCTCGGTTGCCACGCTCGCCTCTGCCGCCAAAGCCGCGCTCGTCGAAGCCGCCCTCGTCGTCGAGCTCACCTCTGCTCGCCGAAGCCGAGGCTGTCATCGTCACCCGTGCTCTCCCTCTGCTCCGCCCTCTCCTCTCCTCCTCTGCTCCACCTCCACAGAGCGCCGCCGAGCTCCCTCTCTCTCTCTCTGCTTCATCTTCTCCCTCTCTACTACATGCTCACCACCGCCCACCTCTCTGCTCACCCGTTCTTCCTCAGCTCTGCTCCTCCCCGTGGACGCAGGACGCAGCGCCGCTGCACGGCTGGTCGAGCGAGGCCACTGCCGACGGCACCCCGCACCTTGCTCTCCACCTCGCCCTGCGCACCTGCTCTGCCCTCTTCCCCTCCTCCGCTCTCTCTCTCCTCCGCCCTCTTCTTCCTCGCCTAGGTCACCGTAGAAGCCGAGATGCTGCACACGCCGCCGTGGCCCGAGGGCTCTGGGATGCTGGGCGGAGGGGCTCGGGGGCTCCAGGATGCTGCACATGCCGCGGATCCGAGCTTCCGAGGCTCTGACTCCAACGAGGACACGACCGCACAAGGCCGACTCCGACGAGTCGATGACGGGCGAGCTGCTGGGTGTGGCCTCCGCGACCACTAGCGTGCGAGAGCGAGAGTGCGAGATGCCAAGCGAGACAGGGGGCGGCGCGACGGCTGGAGGACAGGGTTGGCCGGATAGGGATTGAGGAACGAATTAGGGTTGGAATGGTGCATTGGTGCATTATATACTCCGTGACTTATTGGGCCTTTTACATGGGCCTGGCGAGTGGCGACCTAGCCGTCTGGTGCCTTCTTCGCGGGGCGGGTCAGCAGGGATCGGGGTCGGGGATCAGCGAACCATTCTCGTCCCCGCCATCCCCGTCCCCTAATGGAAGAATTCCCCGCGGGGAATCGGGGATCGGATCCCCATTGACATCTTTACTTGAGTGAGGTGGGAGCGGTTGAATGGATCTGTCTAAAAAATTATATATACCACACTAGCTAAATACCATAGCATAGCACTGAATGAAAGTGTGTATCGATAGGTGAGGGATGTCACAGTACTTACAGAATCACTCAGCAGATGCCTGATAATTACAGGCCGATCTACTGTGACCTTCGATGATGGCAGTGTCACAGGATCTTTCATTAAGAGTATACTGCAAGGTAAAATCATAGGTCAACAAGAAGTAGCAGATTAAACTAGAAGGTTTATGGGCAGCACACATCATGATGAACTCTCCAACAAGTGTGGATGTGTGGCGCTAAGATATCAAATGGTCTGGGTAAAAAATATGGTTACGAGTGGGAACAAAGTGTGTTCTAACTTCTAAGGTTCCAACTTAGGAGCTCACGCCCTTTAGACTGTCTCCAACAAAACAACCTAAACACAACACCCATTTCTCTTATTTGGGTGCTGCACAGTAAAAAGATCCGCACCCAAAATTTATCTTCTCCAACCGACGACCCAAATCACTGTGCACCGGTAAAAATATCTCCAATCCTCTCTCTCTCTCCCTCGTCACTTCTCTTCCCCTCCCTCCCTCTTCCTCCCGATCTCCCCTTGCCCTCTCTCTCTCTTCCTCGCTCCTGGGCGCAGATCCCGCGCCTCCCTGTCGTGCCGGGGAGGCTCGTGGTGGCGGGGAGGTAGGACAACATGTCAGGGTGGGCTCGACGTGCCAGGGCTGGGCGGCCGCTCTGGGGCCAGCTCGCCTCACCGGCCAGGGTGAGCGGCGGTGGGGCCCAGATCTGCGCACCCCCGCCTCCTCCTCGCTGCACCAGAGTAGGGCAACCCACGGAGGTGGTGGTGGGCCGCCGCGTCGAGGTGGAGGCGGGCCGCTGCGCCGGGGCAGGGCTGCCGCCCGGAGCAGGTCAACGCGCCTGTGCTCGATCCCGTGCGGAGGAGGGAGATGGCGGAGGTGAGGAGGATGGCGTGGCCGAGGTGGAGGCGGGCCACGCGCCGGCGAGGAGGTGGGCCGCAGCGCAGGGCAGAGCGCCGCGCCACTGCGGCTCCGACGGGCCCACCACGTTTGTGTCGTCTCTCTTCGAAGACGCAGAAATGCCTCCCGAATCATCGAGTACCCAGAATGCATCGGTGGTTTCGGTCTTCCGTTGGAGGATGGTTTTGGCTACTCAAAACACTGTGCCGGACGCATTTTGCGTTTGGGTCACGCCGTTGGAGACAGTCCCTTGCTCACCCAGAAAGACCCATACAATACATGGAGTCCTAGTTAGACTAGGATAATATGTTTTTCCTCAACAGTCTTGAGGTCGTGCTTTAGTCAGCTCTACCAAGACAGGAAAGACAACACAGACACCAAGCTTGTAGCCTTAAGGTGGCTGGTTGGGCCAGATCAGCCTAATACCAGGACATATGCATTATTGACTATACTAGAGTTGATATAAAAAAAACTAACTCAAAGATCAATCCCATTGAATCTAGACAAGCGAAATAGAATGGAAGAAAGAAAACAAGCAAAGTTATGGAGAGAAAAAAAAACTAATCATCTAAAAACAATGAAGTGAATGACTTCCAGATACCTTCAATTACATTTCACCTTACAAATTTGTCTCAGAGGAAGAAAATGATGCTATTTGTAGGAAATAACAATATATAGTACCTGAATTGGATCGAGGAATTCATCTGGTATGTCCCCAAGGATTGCCTCAGCATCCATAGCTTCCGAAGCAGCAGCTTTTGCCCTACCATCAAGTTGCATAAACTCCTGTATGATTTTGGGATCACCCCCAATCTTCCGTAGAATATTAGCTACACTAGCAAACAACTGCAATGGATAGACAATGGTCAGACTACAAATACAGGAGCAATCTCTAATTGGATAAACAAAGCAAAAATTACCTGATCATTATATGCTCTATTAGCCCCTGGATCTCCGGTACGGAGATATCTGACCACTCACTAGTGTTGCCGAGCACTCCCGTAGCGGAGCCGACCACGAACTGTCGTTGCCGACCACACACTATGGCTAGAGGTAGAAGAAAGCAGGGAGAACAGAGCATACACACACAGCAGAGACACCAGCATTGGCGGGGGCTCTGTATAGGAGATGGCAAATCTAAACTCTCTCTTTACTGAGTTACAGTGACAAACTACATATACAACTCTATCCATCTAGTGCTAATACAACTGTCATGCTGCTACAATTACTAGATATGACAGCAAGGCTGACTTTGGCACCTACCCCTGCTGTGGCTACAGTGTGGCAGGTGAGCCGTTCGGCGCCTGTCCCTGCAGCTGCTACAGTGCAGTAGCAGGGAGCCGTTTTCGGCGCCGCCCTCACCTGCTGCGCATTCACACAAGAGATACAGAAGATTATCTAACAATTCTTCCCCTAATACTTCTGCTACCCTTGAACCCCATCCATGCCGATCATCTTCTTCAGCTCCGTGAGTCGAAGATGGCCGAGCGGCTTGGTGAGGACGTCCGCGAGTTGCTAACTAGTTTCGACGAACTCGATGACGATCTGCCCTCCCTCGACACAGTCCCTGAGGAAGTGGAACTTCACACCGATGTGCTTGCTCCGGTCATGGAGAACTGGATTCTTCGTGAGGGCTATGGCGGGCTGGTTATCCACCATCAGTGCTGGTGGGTGAGCTTCCATACCGGTCAGCTTACCCAGCAGCCGACGTAGCCACACAACTTGGTACGCCACTGTGGCCGCCGCTACATACTCTGCCTCGCACGTAGACAACACCACCACCTTCTGTTTCAGCGATAGCCATGAAATTAGAGCCGACCCGAGGAAGACGAGCACGCCAGAGGTGCTCCATCGTCTGTCGATGTCCCCCGCCATGTCTGCATCGCTGAACACAGTGAGCTGCAGCCTGCTTCTGCCTGTCTTGGGGAAGACGATCCCTTGATCCACCGTTCCCTTGACGTAGCATAACAGCCGCTTCACTGCAGCCCAGTGATCCTCTCTAGGACCCTCCATGAAGCGACTGACGTAGCTCACGGCGAACGCAATGTCTAGCCTCGTGTGGACTAGGTAGCACAGACCGCTGACGATGCTCCAGTAGAGTGTTGCATCCACCATCGCCGTGGTGCTAGCCTTTGTCAGCTTCAGCCGCTCCTCGATCGAAGTCATGCATGGCTTGCACTCAGCCATGCCGCTCCGCTCCAACAGCTTTGAGGCATACGCACTCTGACCGAGCGTGAGTTCCTCTTTCCCTTGTCTCACCTCGATGCCGAGGTAGTAGGAGAGTGTGCCAAGATCGCTCATTATAAAATGAGCCACAATCTCGTGCTTGAAGCTATCGATGTCCTCTGCACGAGTGCCGGTGATGATCAAGTCGTCCACATACATGCCGCTGACGAGCTCCTCCTTCCCCCGTCGCCGTGTGTAGAGCGCGTGCTCGGTTGCACACCGCTGGAACCCAAGCTCGCCCAGTGTGGCATCAAGCTTGGCGTTCCACACTCATGGGGCCTGCCACAACCCGTAGAGCGCCTTGTGCAGTCGAAGCACCCTGTGCTCCGCTCCCTTGATGGTGAAACCCGGAGGTTGCTTGACGAAGACCGTCTCCGCCAGCTCACCATTGAGGAAGACCGATTTTATGTCCAGGTGATGGACGCACTAGTCCTTTGCTGCTGCCAAGGCTAGTAGCAAATGGACAGACTCCATGCGTGCTACTAGCGCAAAGACTTCTTTGAAGTCGATGCCCTCGCGCTGAATAAAGCCTCGAACAATGAGGTGCACCTTGTGTTTGACAATGGCGCCGAGCTCGCCCCGCTTGACCTTGTACACCCACTTTAGGCCGATCAGACGGCATCCTGGAGGTGGATCGACGAGCTCCCATGTCTTATTTTCCTCGATCGCCTTCATCTCCTCCAGCATCGCCCGTCGCCAGTTTCCATAATGCTCGGGCAGCGCGAACGTGGGTGGTTCCTCTACGCTGACGAGCAGCAGCTCTTGATCATTGAGCAGCCAACCTGTCAGGCCTGAGGGCCCTATGCCACCGATGATGTCATCTAGCCTACGGAACCGCACCTTCTCACCTTCGTGGAAGGCATCCATGAACTCAGTAATGTCACTTGGAGGTGAGGCGAACTCGATCGGTGTCGATGGAGTTCCCTGTTCTGCTAGAGTGCTCGGCACCCCGGATGCAGTGCTCGACACTACTCCTGGACTGTTCGTCACCACTTCTAGAGTGGTCTGCACCCCTCCCGGAGTGCTCGGCACCAGTCTTGTAGTGGTCAGTACCACTGCAAGACTGCTCGGCTCCACTACGGGAGTGCTCGGCACCTGTCTTAGAGTGATCGACACCACTGCAGGATCTCCTGGCTCCACTCCTAGAGTGCTCGGCACCTCCTCAGGAGTGCTTGACTCTATTGCTGGAGTGCTCGGCACCCCTCCTGGAGTACTCGGCACCACTTTCCCAGCGTCTCCACCACCGTGGATGACCAAGTGCTCGACGACGAAGGTGCTGGTAAAGCCACCAGCTTCCCTCATGCTCAGACCGTTCTAGTCCCAAGCCGCCTTCTCATCGAACACGACATCGCATGAGACAAGTACCTTGTCTCCACGTGGGTCATAGAGCCGGTACGCCTTGGTACCCTCCGCGTAGCCCAAGAACACCATCGGTGTGCTCCTGTCCTCTAGCTTGGTGAGGATCGGCTTTGTTTTCCTGACGTGGCCGATGCAGCCGAATGTCCAGAGGAAGCACATGCTCAGCTTGTGTCCATGCCAAGCCTTGAACGACGTCTTGCCCTTCAGGGCCTTGGTGGGAGCACGGTTGAGGATGAACACCACTGTGGTCACCGCCTCACCCCAGAACCTTGTCGGCATACCTTTGGCCTTCATCATGGATCGAGCCATGCCGACCACCGTCTAGTTTCATCGCTCCACCATGCCATTCTGTTGTGGCGAGTACGGTGTGGTGTGGTGTCGTACCACACCCTGATCCGCGTAGTACGCAGCGAACTCCACCGAAGTGAATTCGCCGCCGCGATCAGTCCTCAGCACGCGGAGCTTCTTGCCGCTCTCAGCCTCTACGTGCATCTTGAACTTCTTGATCACCGCCATCGCTTCGTCCTTGCTCGTCAGGAGTTGCAGCCACATGTAGCGACTGCAATCATCCATGAGCAGGAGGAAGTACCGCCGACCACCGTTTGTGGCTGGCGTGATTGGCCCGCAGAGGTCATCGTGGACGAGCTCGAGAGCGTCCTCCGCATGATACTTGGCCGCTTTTGGGAATGTCACCCTCCTCTGCTTCCTGACCAGGTAGCTGTCACACAGCTCGCCTTCGTGCTCGATGTGGGGTAGGCCTCGGACCATCTTCTCTAATCGACCAAGCGCGTCGAAGCTGAGATGTCCGAACGGGCATGCCACAGCCACGGTTCCTCAGTGTGCCTTGCCGCTAGGCACACCGGCTACTCTACCTTCAGGTCGAGTAGGTACAACTAGTTTAGGGACCTCTTCACCTTGGCAAGAAGTCATTGTTCCCGGTCCCTGATCCTGAGGACTCTGTCCTTGATCAGTACATCGCTACCGCACTCATCTAGCTGACCAATGCTGATGATGCTTGAACACAGCTGCGGGATGTAATATACATCCGTTAGCGTGCGGTGCTCCCTGTTCTGGCACCTAAAGATGATGGTGCTGTGCCCTTGCATTGCCACCCTTGAGCCGTCACCAAACTTCACCGTACCAATAACATCGTCGTTGAGCTCGGAGAAGGCTACCTTGGAGCCCGTCATGTGGTTGCTGGCACCAGAGTCGAGATACCACCGTTGCTCCTGCTCACCGCCTGGACGTCTGAGGTGGACTTGGGCGAGCGGTAGTGCACATAACGTTCGAGGTGGACTTGGGTGAGCTTTCAGGGCCTTCCTAGGTCCTTCCGCCATCGTTACCTCTCCCTTCTCCTCGGCCTCGACGTCGTGTAGTGCACAGAACGTCGCCATCCGGATAGTGGCCTCATCATCATCATCAGCTTACGCCAGATGAGCCTTAGCCTTCTTCTCCTGCTTGTGATTTAGACACTCCCGTGCCCAATGGCCTATCTTCCCGCAGCGCTGGTAGGCATTGGGGTTGACCTACTTCTTCTTCTCCAAAGAAGCCTTGCCACGGCGCTTGCTATCGCCACCGTGGCTAGAGGAGGCTACCCTAGAGTTCCTCGTGCAGCCCACTCCTCTGTCAGCAGCAGTTTGTCGCTGTCCTTGGTTGCTATCGCCTGCTCCAGGCGCTCGTCCATTGCCCGTAGATGGCCTGTCACATCCTCGATGGTGAGGGTGGACAAGTCCAGCATCGTCTCTATGGAGAGAGCGATCTGGATGTACTTTGCCGGCACAGAGTGGAGGTACTTGGAGACCGCCTCCTCTCCGTCGATGGTGACGCCGTGGCTCTTCAGCTTGCTGATGAGCGTCTGCAGACAGAGGGAGAAATCCTCCACCGTTTCACCATCCTTGAACTTGAGGTTGGCGTACTCCTGCTTCAGAAGCTAGGTTGTTGCCTTCTTTGCGCGGTCGGAACCGACGTGCATCGCCGCAATAGCCTCCCACATCTCCTTAGCAGAGCTCTTCGCCCCCAATGGCTCCCTGTACTCTGCCGGTACAGCAGCGAGGATAGCCTCCAACGCTGACATATCATCTTCTTCATTTATGGTGTCCTTGTCAACTAGATTCCAGAGCTGTCGGGCTCTGAGCTTGATCTTCATGGTCACCGACCACTCTTCATAGTTGGTGCGAGTTAGCGTCGGCCAACTGGTGCCGCTGACCTCCTACACCGTGCGAACAACGACCTCCTGTCGTGGCTGGACAGCCACAGTAGTGCCACTGCTGTTGCCCATTTCGAACCGTCTGTCATCGCCAGCGGTTAGTCCGGCGACGACACTTGTACGGCTCCGATACCACTTGTTGGCCCCTGGATCTCCGGTACGAAGATATCCGACTACTCACTAGTGTTGTCAAGCACTCCCGTAGCGGAGCCGACCACGAACCGTCGTTGTCGACCACACACTATGGCTAGAGGTAGAAGAAGGGAGGGAGAACAGAGCATACACACACAGCAGAGACACCAGAATTGGCCGGGACTCTATATAGGAGATGGCAAATCTAAACTCTCTCTTTACTGAGTTGCAGTGGCAAACTATATATACAACTCTATCCATCTAGTACTAGTACAGCTGTCATGCTGCTACAGTTACTAGATATGACAGCATGGCTGACTTTGACGCATACCCCTGCTGTGGCTATAGTGCGGTAGGTGAGCTGTTCGACGTCTGTCCCTGCAGCTGCTACAGTGCAGTAGCAGGGAGCTCTTTTCAACGTCACCTTTACCTGCTGCGCATTCACACCAGAGATGCAGAAGATTATCTAGCATGCTCTTCCATCTTTGGAGATTGCAGCTGGGAAGACAGATTCCTTGTCGCCCCTTGAGATATGGACATAGATGGTGGCAATCTACAATGTAAAGACAAGTAAAGAAATCGGAGAGAACTATCCCACAATAGATGAAAAAGAAAAAAGTGACTGAAGAGTAAATCGCTCCATCCACGGAACCTGTTTCAATAGCTGCTTCGGTTTGAACTCGTACTTCTCCGGATCCTTTACAGTCAAAGATTTCCTCTGGGGACTAGCAAGTTGCAAGAGGAAGTAATTAAGCATGCTCGCAACCCTTTCCACCTGAATAAGAATAAGAGATTATCAAAATATTTACATAAAAGGTACAGTCTAGCAATGATTCCCATTTGGCTATCACAAGTAATATTCTGTTAGTGAGAAATAATAATTATTTAGTATGAAAATCCAAATAGCTTTGGCAATGCTATAATAATAAAGTTTAGAATAACACAGGGCATCATGACATATTAACTGGAACGAATATATAATAAGCTTACCATTTCAGGGAGAAGGAAAGGTGCTGGAATTTGTTCCGAGGTGAATGCAAGCATCCCAACATCCTCATTGGCTAGCCTCATGTCAAATCGAACAATCTGGAAAGTGAAAATACATAGATCAAAAAGTCATTCAGAAAAAGACAATTGAAGTAGATACATGAATTGTAAACACTGTTAAACAAGACTAACATTTTCCCACTGATGAAATACACGCAGCCGCTCCTCTCTTTCTTGAGCAGGTCTGCGCTCCCACTCAACAGTGTTAGCCATTTCAGCCTCTATTTCTTTCAGTTCAAGAATTTTGTTCAAGCTCTCATCAAGAAGATAGATGCTATCATTGATGAGAAAGTTAAGAAAATTTAAGTATACACCCTTCTCCTCCTCTTTAGCTATCTGTCACAGAAAATGTGGAAAATGTATCAGTAAAAAGTGAGTGCAGAAAAAATGTTGTCCAGGAATATTCATTCACTTGTCTCCATGCATTTCGGTGACTGGGGGCATCCCATAAATACTCCAGAAGCTCAGCAATATTATGTCGAATGTTAAACTTGTCAAAAAACTGCAGAAATAGAAAACAATATAAGACAATAAATTGCACAATTCTGACAAGATCTGAAGTGATTAGCGTAAGGCACAGATTAGTTGATGGAAACTGTCAAACTGATCATGCCACTCACTTGTGTATGGGAGCCAGTGAATTCAATATCCACATAAAGCCTTAGAAGATTTCTAACAAGATAGTCAAGACACAGTTCACTACGTCAGATTCTTACAGCAGGAACGGAGGCATTTTTACTATAGGGGTGGCTGGGGTTGGGGGCGCCCCTACAGTGGGCGTCCTCGGGCCCTAGCAGCCCAGCCGCCCCTACAGATATCACTGTAGGGGCGGCTGGTAACCTGAGCCGCCCCTACAGCTGGGGCTGATCTATAGGGGCGGCTCAATCACCAGCCGCCCCTGCAGCAGATGTCACTGTAGGGGCGGCTCAGGTTACCAGCCGCCCCTACAGTTAGGGCTGGTCTGTAGGGGCGGCTCAATCACCAGCCGCCCCTACAGTGCCGACTGTAGGGGCGGCTGAATCACCAGCCGCCCTTACTGATGGGGCACGAATAAATAGCAGCCACCCCCTTCTTCCACCTCGGGACACACTCTTCTACACACAAAAAAAGGTCGGGAGGCCTTGGGCTCCTCCTAAAAATTGCTCTACTAAAGGGGGAGGTTTTGATCTCAAATCCTTTGGTGGAGAGGCTCTAAAAGGTAAGAAAATGCTTCTCCAACTCTTTATTTAAGTTTAATTCGTTGGTTAGTGAGTGATTTGATTTTAGGTTTTCTCTCTCTTCCATGGAGCTTGAGCTAGTTATGAGTGAAATTAGACCCTAATTTTCACTATACTAGGGTAAATTAGGTAGGAAAGTAAGATTGTACCCTTTATTAGTACATCTTTGTTGATTTTAGTGTAGTATTAGTGAAGTTTGGTGCATGTGTCATGAAACCCTATATCTAGATCTAGGATTTTGTTTTTTTTTTCTTTTTCAATTTTTCCTTTATGTGACTAGGGTTTGCATGTAGGTGAATGTGTAAGATTTTAATTGTTGCTAATGTGTAAAATATCCTCTACCATGGCTACTAATTATCATTTAATATTTATTTTGATTCCTTTCTATAATGTGTGTTTTATGTGACTTGGATGTATGGTTCGTTAAGACACGACGCTCTTTTCCGTGATGAGGTGGACAAATTCATCAAAGCCGCAGAGAAGCATGCAACGACGTTGAAAGAGAATAGCGACACGATTATTTGTCCCTGCAAAGATTGCAAGAACCTTATTGCATTTCGAGATGTGAGTACCATCAAAGAACATTTGATTAGAAGAGGATTTGTTCCGGACTATATAGTGTGGATTCATCATGGTGAAACAGTGGTTGTTGATGACAGCGACGATGATCTAGCTGATGAAGCTGAAACCCAAGCATACTTGTCCCGATTCACAGACGATCTTGAGCAACAAATGGATCGTGACTATGGTAATCAACAAGGTGGTGGCTTTGGCAATCAACAAGGTGGTGGCTTTGGCAATGAACAAGGTGGTGATGATGCTAGTGGTGCCAGCAATGATGGCGAAGCACGTGAGGGGGATGCAGATGACGGTGACAACTTAGACGAAATGCTTGGGGCCTTTGGACCAGAAATATTAGAAAAGAGCAAGAGAGGTCTAGAAAATCTTGAGAGGGTGACAAAAGCATCGAAGAAGACTGTGTATGATGCTGAGAAGGGTTGTCCGACATACTTCGACCTTTAATGCGTTTTGTGCTTGAGCTACTCATCCGGGAAACAACATATCATCGGAGTTGATGGCATGGACGATGTTGAAGCTTACAATAAGTGCAATGAGATGCCGCTATTCACAGACTTTTATAAGAAGATCGAGGCTGTGAAAAAGAACCTGCCCAAAGATGTATTGCCATGGAAACGAAAAGGTGTCAAGGGGAAAGTTATCACGGTGGGCTAGCTAGTTTATGTAAGTGTGTCAGTGTTTATAAGACTACATTCATGTATGTGTATGTGAGACTACATTCATGTATGTAAGACTACATTTCAGCTGAAAAATGCAACTTCAGACAAGATTTTGGTTCCCCAAATGATTTCAGATACATCATACATCAAACATCATACAAGCACCAATCTTCGCGGCATGAGTAGAAATAGCCAAGCTCATGGCTTCATGGGTCTCATGGAGTCATGGTCATGGATTCAAGATCTACAATCCTTATATAGGCCATTTTTTCATTTGAGAAAGTTTGAACAAAATGTAGTTCAAATTTCACAAGTGTGTGACATAGTTTTAGAAAGTCTATATGAGATTCAAGAATTTGTGGCTAGTGTTTGATAAACATTTCTCAAATGGGAAAATGAGCTATGTAACAATTGTATATCTTGCTGAGATGATCAAACTTGGTATTCAGAGTTTTTTCATCTGAGGTCATTTAGTGTCTCATTTGAGCAAGTTTGACCAAGTCAAATTTGGTTAAATGAAAAAACAACACTTTGACTCTAGTATTATGAACTCTAAATGACTTCAAATTGAAAAGTTTTGAATACCAAGTTTGTTCAACTCATCAAGATCTACAATTGTTGGTTTGGTCAACTTTCCATTTGAGATAGTTTGGATAGTTCAAATTTGTGATTTTTAAATTTTGACGTTTACAAACTAGTTTTCGGAACCCTAGATTGTTTCAAATTGAAAAGTTTTGAATACCAAATTTGTTCATCTCATCAAGATCTACAATAATTATATAGGCCTTTTTTAATTTAAGAAAGTTTGAACAAAATATAGTTCAAATTTCACAAGTGTGTGACATAGTTTCAGAAAGTCTATATGAGATTCAAGAATTTGTGACTAGTGTTTGATAAAACTTTCTCAAATGGGAAAATGAGCTATGTAACAATTGTATATCTTGCTGAGATGATCAAACTTGGTATTCAGAGTTTTTTCATCTGAGGTCATTTAGTGTCTCATTTGAGCAAGTTTGACCAAGTCAAATTTGGTTAAATGAAAAAACAACACTTTGACTCTAGTATTATGAACTCTAAATGACTTCAAATTGAAAAGTTTTGAATACCAAGTTTGTTCAACTCATCAAGATCCACAATTGTTGTTTTGGTCAACTTTCCATTTGAGATAGTTTGAATGGTTCAAATTTATGATTTTTAAATTTTGATGTTTACAAACTAGTTTTCGGAACCCTAAATTGTCTCAAATTGAGAAGTTTTGAATACCAAATTTGTTCATCTCATCAAGATCTACAATCATTATATAGGCCATTTCTTCATTTAAGAAAGTTTGAACAAAATATAGTTCAAATTTCACAAGTGTGACATAGTTTCAAAAAGTCTATATGAGATTCAAGAATTTATGACTAGTGTTTGATAAAACTTTCTCAAATGGGAAAATGAGCTATGTAACAATTGTAGATCTTGCTGAGATGATCAAACTTGGTATTCAGAGTTTTTTCATCTGAGGTCATTTAGTGTCTCATTTGAGCAAGTTTGACCAAGTCAAATTTAGTCAAATGAAAAAACAACACTTTGACTCTAGTATTATGAACTCTAAATGACTTCAAATTGAAAAGTTTTGAATACCAAGTTTGTTCAACTCATCAATATCTACAATTCTTGTTTTGGTCAACTTTCCATTTGAGATAGTTTGGACGGTTCAAATTTGTGATTTTTAAATTTCGATGCTTACAAACTAGTTTTCGGAACCCAAGATTGTCTCAAATTGAAAAGTTTTGAATACCAAGTTTGTTCAGCTCATCAAGATCTACAATACTTATATAGGATATTTTTTGATTTGAGAAAGTTTAAACAAAATGTAGTTCAAATTTCACAAGTGTGTGACATAGTTTTAGAAAGTCTATATGAGATTCAAGAATTTGTGACTAGTGTTTGATAAAACTTTCTCAAATGGGAAAATGAGCTATGTAACAATTGTATATCTTGCTGAGATGATCAAACTTGGTATTTAGAGTTTTTTCATCTGAGGTCATTTAGTGTCTCATTTGAGCAAGTTTGACCAAGTCAAATTTGGTCAAATAAAAAAACAACACTTTGACTCTAGTATTATGAACTCTAAATGACTTCAAATTGAAAAGTTTTGAATACCAAGTTTGTTCAACTCATCAAGATCTACAATTGTTGTTTTGGTCAACTTTCCATTTGAGATAGTTTGGACGGTTAAAATTTGTGATTTTTAAATTTTGACGTTTACAAACTAGTTTTCGGAACCCTAGATTGTCTCAAATTGAAAAGTTTTGAATACCAAATTTGTTCATCTCATCAAGATCTACAATCATTATATAGGCCATTTTTTCATTTAAGAAAGTTTGAATAAAATATAGTTCAAATTTCACAAGTGTGTGACATAGTTTCAGAAAGTCTATATGAGATTCAAGAATTTGTGACTAGTGTTTGATAAAACTTTGGTATTCATCACTTTTTATGTTGAAATCATTTTAGGTCTCAAATTTTGGTTCGAACTTGTCATTTTTTAAAAATTCAAATTTTCTACTACGTTTAGATATGGTGATACATAACGGTTTAGATATGACGTTATAACAGATCATCGTAAAAAGTTCTACTACGTTTTGTATCTAAGCTGATAAATCTATGAGGAAAAAAAACCCCACTCGCCTTATCCCCTCCCGTACTCCCCTGAGACCGTATCCTCAGCTTCTCTCAACACACAGCCGCATCACGTACTCGAAGCCGCCGTCGCCGTCCTCCGCGTCGCGACCCCCGCCTCTGTCGCGGCCACCGACGTCCACCGCGGCTCGACCCACACCCTCTGCCGCGACCGCCGATGCCCTCCACCCGTGAATCTGGGGCCGATGAAGCCCAGGACCACCAGCCCCCCTCCCATGGCCGTCGTCTGCCCCAGGTCCGCCTCCTCCCTCTTCTCCCATAGCGTTGGCGTGGTCTCCAGGTCTCCGGCCCCGCCCTGACTCGCCGCGCCCGCTCCGGTGTTCGCTCTGACCCTGCTGCGCCCGCTCCAACCCCAGTCCCGGTCCTGGCTCCACCGGCGACCCGGCCCCGCGCCTGGCTTGGCTTCACCCTAGCACGCTGGCATCCAGATCTACAACGGTGTGCACTCACAACACCAGGTATGCCTATCCCTTATCTTCTCTTCATTTTGGGTAAAACTGAGCACTAGAACCCTAATTTTACTTGTTTGGCTATATGTAGATCTAAACCTAAGTGTATGCTTTTATGAGCAAAACTCGTTTTGGTCTTCCTGCAGAGATGTGGATTGAAATTATCAGTGAGAATCTTGTGTTCAAAGACAACAACAAGGAGCAGGGCTTGTGTTCGATTTGGTGAGCGGCGACAACAAAGTGCTCTTCAATCGATATCTCATTTGTTAAGTGCCCCCTTGCAAATGCACTAATAGTCTTTGTTTAATATTTGCCATCCTACTTAGTTGCTTGAACTATATCGATAGTTCTCGGTGGCTTGTTTGCTACTAGAGATTTTTATTTGATTATAAGTGTTACTCCTCTCATTTCGGACGGATTGCAAACCTATTATTTTGTTCACCCTTTGGAGAGTAGCAACATTGTTCACACTCGGTACATCAAAACTCTATATTTAAATTGTGCTCAACAGATTTACGGAACTTTTGTAACACTTGAAGTTCTTGAATTTGAGATCCGTAATTGAGTTCTATGTGACTTTGCTTGATGAGTGGCTGCTGAACTTGGACAACATTTTGCATTTTTGCAGATAACATGTGGTGTCGATCTGCTTCAATTAAATACGTTCTTTCTTAATAGCATTTTCTGTTGTTATGTTGCTGTTGTATTTTAATTCCAATACAATTAAGATCATTTTCTTTATATTTTAATTCCAATGTTCACTTGTGTTGAAGCCTCAAAAGATGAGATGTAATTCATATTTGAACCAGACGCATTTTGTGTGGCTGGTTTTACTCTCTTCATTTGGCTTTTGAGGTCAAAAGGTCGTTGAGCAGTTTACTCTCTTCATATGCTTTTCATTGGCTCTCTCGGCTATATGCATATTAGAGGAGCTGCTTATTTCATTATTTGCATGAAGCTCGAGAATGGTGAGCTTTCTCTTCTCACCCTTTTTGTCGTGTATAGCACCATCGATTCAAATTATACAATATAGGTGAAACAGTTGCATTGATCGATGCGTTTCAAAATATTAGCAGACCATGTTTGTTGATACCCTTTCTCTTTGGCTTTTTGGATTCATTTTATGCTTATTCCTAGACTATGGATTATTGATGGGCATGTTTGTTGATACCGTTTCGAAGAGATGAGATACACTTGATGTGGTCTACTTGAATCGCAAAAGTTGATCTCATATATTTTCCTTTCATAGTCAGAATTTGTGCATATATGAAAAAGTTATTTAATGTGTTCCGTAGCGTTAGCACGGGCAATATACTAGTTTTGGATAGTAGTAGTGTTTTCCCCTTGCAAGGGAACCTGTATATGTGGATTTCATTTGCTATCCGCAAAGGGGATCTCTCTTTTCTTTCTTCTTGTGTGCATTTAGATCTTCTAAATGAAAATGATATCTTTAATTTGTGTCTATACTTTTTACTGTTGATATCACACTCGCATATCTTGAGATAGGAGCTATGATAGGAAACTTGAGATAGGAGCTGGTGACATATGTACAGTTAGTAGGCAAAAAATGACCTGACCTTGAGATAGGAGCTGTTCTCATTTGCAATTCCTTTGAGTTCATATTTAGTTTAAATGGCGATTCTGAACTTTTTGTGCTCATGAAAATGTCTTTGTTTATGCATTTCCGTCCATATATTGATTACATGTATTTGTTTCTTAGCTTATTCATTTCATTTCTTTGTTTCTTAGCTTATTCAATTTTTTCTAAACACTAGTCCGAAAACATATTATTCCTTGCTTCTGATGCATGACTCCATTTAATTTCAGAAAAGGCAACCCAAGTTGTTTAATGTTTAGCATCGGACAATGGCTCTATGAATTCAGAGTCTTTGGAGAAGCATCAAGGTATGGAGGAGTGAAGATTTAGTTGGAGGCTAAGTTGAAGGTAATTTATCTAGCTGTCATTTTTCTCGAGTTGCATCTTGTGTAAGCAGTTGGATGCATCTTGACTTCCTTTTAATAGTTTGGCTAGCAATTTCATGCTTTGGATGATTATATATTCTCTTGATTTTAAAGTATGCAATGATGTTAAGTACTAAGTTTAAAGAAGGATCTCTGTGTTATTTAAATATCTTAGATGTCAAATGATAAAACCATGGAGATCAAGCAGATGGCTTCTGGATGAAATGTTGTAGCAATCTGATTACTTTGTTTGTTGCATTTTAGAAATCATAGCAATTGCAGACTGCTCTTGCACTTTGCAGATTGAACATGGGGATGGCAGCGTGGATCCGGCCTCCGCATCATCTCTTCATGTGTTATTTTTACGATATGCAATATGCAATTTCTTAAAATGTATTGTTAAAATAAGTATAATTCATATGCAATATGCAATTTGAATTATTTTTTTTGTGAAAAAATCCTTTCAGAGGGGCGGGTGGTGACTGGTAGCCCTTACTGAAATCCACTCTGAGGGTGGTGATATTACCAGCCACCCCTATAGAGGGCACTATAGGGGCGGTTGAAAACACCGGCCGCCCCCTACAACAGCAATTGTGGGGGCGGCTGAAAACACCAACCGCCCCTACAGAGAAGCACTGCAGGGCGGTCAGAAACCGCCCACTGAGGCACCTCTGAGGAACACACAGGAAGAGGCGGTGGCGTGAGCCGCCCCCTAGAGGCTCTAGAGCCGCCCCTACAGTTAAATTCTGTAGTAGTGGTTGGTGCCCCACAAACAACGAGGCTGTAGAATTCAAGCCACTGCGCAAATGACATAGGAACTCTCAGTACAAAACCTTACAGTCATAAATCATAGATCATAATGGAGTGCATAAAATTATGAACCTTCTTTGCGGCATCCAGCAATTCAAAACTTCAACCATCTTTGCTCTTAGGTAAGGATTCTTAATGTAAGGTGTGCTTCCCATGAACATAATGATGAAGCTGAGAAAGTCATCCTGTCAAAGAAAAAAAATCAAAATTCAAAAATCATAAGCAGCTATATGACCAAGGTCTGGCAATCACAAAATCAGACAAAATTGTAGGAAAAAACAATTTCGACCCATAGGGGAAAACTAGAAAAGACATCCCCTGAGGCATTGCATTAAGGGGGTGTTTGGCAGGGCTCCTCCGGAGGAGCCGGCTCCGGCTCCTCTGTTTTTCACTAAAAAACGACTCCTACAAAACATTTGGTAGGACTCCTCCGGAGGAGCCGGAGCTGGGGAGCACTGCCAAACAGGCCCTAAGAAGACCTCTACAAGGGGCTCAGAAAAGGCACTAAAGGCCGGGGCCACTCAGGAACACGCTGAAAGCAACATAACTCAATGAGGCCCCTTTTGTTTGTGAGACCCAGGGTTTGAACCCTGGTTGGTAGCATCACAACTGGACACCCTGGCACCACACTACCAGTCTACCACTTCTCAAGTAAGACAAAACTAGATCATTGTGGCACCACACTACCAGTGATTCCAAGTGCATTTGTTTGAGTGATTGTATCTAGTGGCACTTAGGGATCGTTGTGGCTGCGGATTTCTTGTTTCTCTTGGTGGTTGCCGCCACCTAGACGGCTTGGAGCAGCGGAGGAGCTTCGGCACGAGTTAGTGATTGTCCATGGTCGGATCCGGCGAAGAGCCTCAAGGTAGCTCTAGTAAATTGCTCGTGTCATTGAGTTACCTCACTTGTGGGTAGGTTCTTGCGGCGCCTCTTGTGGTGGGCTAGGTGTGTGATACCTATTAGCCGCTGAACCACCAAGTGTTGGTTGACACAACGGAGACGTAGCATGCCGGCAGGCACGTGAACCTTAAGAGAAAATTGGTTGTCTCTTGCCCGTTGGTATTCTCCTAGTGATTGAATTAGTTTCCATCTTGTGATTGGTTCACTCCTCTACGCAGCGGTATAATCACCTTACTCACTCATTTACATTTCCGCAAACTAGTTGTAGCAAGCTTTTTAGTGTAACTAGAATTGAGAGCTTACCTTGTAGTTTAAGTTCATCTAGTGGAGCTCTTTAGTATAGCAAGTTTGAGAGCTCTTAGTGAGTAGCAACATAGCCTCTTGTGTACCTAGTGATCATAGTAACTAGAATTGTTGGATAGGTAGCTTGCAACCCTTGTAGAGCTAGAGCAAGTTTGTATTTTGTCATTTGTCATACTAATCAAATTGTTCTAGTAATCTTGTAGATTTTTAAATAGGCTATTCACCCCCCTCTAGCCATATTAGGACCTTTCACATAGAAGTAGCTCTGTTGCGTGGCTAATTTGGTTTTAGTAACCTTGTTAGTCACATTGCTTAGTTTGTGTAGCTAAGTAATTTGCGCTCTCTAATTTGGCATTAGTTCCCTTGTTATTGAGCATTGCTAGTGAGCTTAGAAGCTTTGTGCTTTTGCATCACTAGTTGTGTAGGAGCTCCCTCGGTTACTTGAGTACTAGTGCATAGGTTTGTGTGACCTTGCTCTAGAATTGTTTAAGTGAGCTCTAGATAGCTCGGCACCTTAGTTGCATAATTAGGATCTTTATAAGGTGCTTGTGAACTTAGATAGAGGGGTGTAGTCTTGGCTTGATCGATAGTTTTAATTCCGCATTTGTTTTGGTTAGCCGACGTATTTAAATTTTAGAAAGGACTATTCACCCCCCCTCTAGTCCACCATCTTGACCCTACACTTGGCTCATCTTCATTTGATTATATGTCTTGACATATATAAATCCACATCAATAAGGTCAAGCCAATTCATGATTCCTTATATCCTCTTCATTTTGTCTTGACACTCTTAACATTAATTTCAACATCTATCTTCACAATAGTATTACTCTTGA